GTAACCTTTCTGCGAGTCACCTTGGCCGTAGCCTCGATTTCCACGAGGGACGACTCGATCTCGCGGAGCATCGTCCCACCAACGCAACGGGCCGACGGATCGTCAATGATCCGACTGGCAGGCTCTCGTAACATCAAGGCATGGCCTTTCAATACTGCTATCTGCTCCTGGTGGTGCATTTCTTCCTCCAGCAGCGTCGACCTCATGCTATCAGTAACTTAATGAAGTGCTCTTTCACCGCCAGCACTCTGGGCGCCAGCTCGGGGAGCTCGCGTATGATTGTTGCCATCGCTGTGAAATGTTTGGTCTCCGCGTGCACGACTCGGGTGCCCCAAGCCGAAGCGGCCTGGGCGATCTGCTCGTCGCTGGTGCTGAAGTCCGTGGGCCAACCCTCGTCGACGGACGGGTGCGCGTCTGAGGAGCCGTTTCTCTTCTCGCTGTCCCAAGGGGGTCCGTGTCACCCTTCACGATGATGGCATGGTCGGGGTCCGCAGGAGTCGGGTTCGCCTGCTGCTTCATGTTCTTTTTGCGGACGGTAGTGGGCACGAAGGTGCCCTGGTCAAGGTCGGGGTCATGCGCGATCCCCTCCACCACTATCACCCGTTCAGCGTGTGGGATCCTCGGCCAGGTCAGACAATGTCGTCTCGTCCGCGTTCCATGTGGGGTCTCCGTGGATTTCTGCGACAAGTCCACCAATGACAGCAAGAATGAGCTTAAATTGGGGCTCCGTGAAGTACCTATTTTATCCATGTTTCGCGACGTCGTAGTTGAGGGGGTCGTGCTGCATCTGGGCCGCGGCCTTCGCCATGTTCTGGACTGCGGCCTGAACCGAGACATGAACAACTGCCAATGTATCCGATGGCTCTCGGTGGTCCGGAACCAGGGCGTCGAGGACCAGCCTGGCGCGAATAACAGAGCATATTTGCTGCTGCACAACGCGTAACTCTTGGCGAATCTGACGAAATTCGAGGTACAGCTCCTTGGTCACCCGCCTCGCCATAGACCGCCACCGCACGAATGAGGTGTCAACCCAGCGGACGACAAAGCAAAAAATGACATCTGCACCAGGTAATGAATACGAGCTGGGCTTTGCTCGAGGGCGAGCGACATTGGGTGATAGAGAGAACAGGATACAGACAGGCCCCCTCGCCGAACCCGGCTCAGGCCAAACAGACTTGAGCCAACATGTGATGGAGAAGGAGGAGGAGGAGAAGGACGAGGAAGAAGAGAGGGAGGAGGAGGAGGGGGAGGAGGAGGAGGAGGAATCATCGATATTAGAATATACCCTTCCTTCAAGCTCCCTCTCCATAAACCCATAGAAGGATTCATTTCCACTTAAGGAATTGCCGCGTTGGGGAAACATCGTATGCAAACCCTGAAGCGTGTCAAACATTACGTCGTTTTCAAAACTTCAACGTCACGAATTAACCTGACTGATGCTGCGTCTTGGCGATCCAGGATCGTCTAAACCACCATTCCGGGAACTTCAACACCACGAATCAACGTAATTTTTGCGCCCTGGCCCCGGAAACGGCACGGCTGTTGTTTCACCGTTTCCGCAAACATTCTTTTTGTAAAGAACAACAAAACACAACGACCGCAACCAACAAAAAAATGGCTCCGGGATTGGAACTGGGGCCGGAGCCCGGAAAACATGGCGACGGAGCCGGCAAAAAAAACGGTGTCGGCACAAGCAAACAAAAAGCCAAAACCGAACCAGTAAAAACCTGTCCAGTCGTTCTAAGGGCCCACTAAGCCCTGACACTCTTACATCGTGCCAAAACAGCATTTCTGGGGCGTCAACCAAAAGAAGATTCGAATCTGCTGCAAACGTTTAAAACAAATGAAAGCGGCGCTAAAACGAGAACCAAATTTTGAAAACGAACCGCCCTCAATCGGTGAAATTCTTGCATGTTTCTGAAACGAATGGTCATGGCACTGGGGCGAGAACCACATTTTGGAAAAGATCCGCCCTCAATCCGTGAAGCTCTTGCAGGTAAAAAAACGAATGTGCGCGGCGCTAAGGCGACCACTACATAATGAAAACGACCCGCCCTCAATCCGCGAAACTCTTGCAACTTTTTGAAAGGAGTGTGCGCGGCGCTCAGGCAAGAGCCACATTTTGAAGACGATCCGCCCTCAATCCGTGAAGTTTCTGCAGATTCTTAAAACGAATGTGCGCGGCGCTGAGGCGAGAGCCATATGTTGAGAACGACCCACCCTCAATGCGTGAATCTCTTGCCACTTTGTAGAATGATTGTGCGTGGCGCTGAAACGAACATCAAATTTAGAACACCCCCCAGCCTGAATATGTGAGACTATGCTTCGCTTTGCAACTTTAGGTTCATAAGTGGCAAGGGTGTCTCAAGCGAACCGTCTGGCCCGCCCGTCTGTCTGGCCTCTAGGTGCGACAAGGAGGATATATTCATAAGGACAAAGAAAAGAGGAGGAGAAGGATGAGGAGGAAAAGGAGGAGGAGGAGGAGGAAGAGGATGAGGAGGAGGAAGAGGAGGAGGAGGAGGGAGAGGATGAAGGAGAAGGAGGAGGAGGAGGAGGAGGAAGAGGGGGAAAATGAGGAGGGGTGAGGAGTGAGGAGTGAGGAATGGGGAGTGAGCAGCAGGAGGAGGAGGAGGAGGAGGAGGAGGAGGAGGAGGGGGAGGAGAAGGATCAGCGTATACCCAAATCTCATCAAATACGGTGCAATGCACGCTCCCTCCAAATTCCCTCTTCATAAGTCCGACAACCATTTTGCACAGTGAAATGCCCAATGTGAAGACAACCGCCTGAAAACACTGAGCCGAGCTAACACCATCCCTGGGACTTCAAGCCTGCGAATCAACGTTATGTACTGTTGCGTCCGGACGATCCTGAATTTTGCCAGGAACACCATGCGTGGGACTTCAACACTGCGAATCATATAACTGCTGCGCCCTGACAGTCCTACATCGTGCGTAGAATACCATTTCCAGGGCGCCAGCCATAAGAAGTCCTGGAGCTGGTGCAAACGTTTCTAACGAATATGCGCGGCGCTGAAGCGAGAACCACATTCTGAAAAAGAGCCCCCCTCCACCCGCGAAGCTTTCGCAAACTTTTAGATCGACCCACATTTCGAAAACGACGCGCCCCCCATCAGTGCAACTCTTGCGAACTTTTGCAACGAATGTGCGCGGCGCTAAAGCGAAAGCCACATTTTGAACACGGCCCGCCCTCCATCCGTGAAGCTTTTGCAAATTCTACGCTTAAGGATCATGCGTGGTGAGGAAGTTTCAGGTCTCATGCGAAACGCCCGGCCCGCCCTACTGAGGCGTCTCGGGGTGCGACAGGGAGCGCGTATGTGCAAGGGGAAGCGATGAAGGACGAGGAGGAGGAAGAGCAGGAACAGCGACAGTTCCAGCGCAGCAGACGCCAACACTGACCCCCCACAACACACACAGCCACCGCCGACCGAAGTACCGCCACCGCGAATGCTTGGGGGACGGGGTGTGCTCAGCGTGTCGCGCCGAAGCGTGGTGGGCCTGAGCCTGGCGGCGCGGCACGCTGAGCAAACGTTTCTGGCACAACAACATCAACGGAAACTTTCGGAGGTCCGCACCTGGCCATCGCTCGGACGTCCATTCCCTGTGCTTTTTTCGGTTTCGTGCGTGTTTTTTTCGCCAAATGATGAAGGATACTCCTCGATGGTCCTCGCCGAAGGAAAAATGCACACGTCCGAGCGATGCCAAGGCACGGTGTTCTTGGAACAGCGCCGGATCCCCTTCCCTGGCGCGCGGAGCGCGCCAGGGGCGGCGCCGGAAGCGCCGCCAAGGTGGCACAACGCAGATCCAAGAAATCCGCGCGGACCGCCGAAAGTTGCTTCTGCTCATGCAATTTTTCTTCTTGACAAACGAACTGACCGTACGTGGGTGCTGTTGCGTGTTCCTCGAGTCGAGGCGGTGGGTTGCTCTGCCGAGGGCTGTGCGGACCCTGCGGGGGCACACTCCTCCGCCACAAGACATGCGCCACACGCCAACACTGGTCAAACCGTAGCCTGTCTGTTTTGTCCCCCCAAGCTGAACAGAACGGCAAACTCTCGACTGACTACTCGACATAGTGATGATCTGCTGTTCGCAGGCCACCGCGCCGCCTGCGCCCGCTGCCGTGCGGACGCTGTCATCGACAAGAGAAGTAATTCCCCCGCCCCTTCCGAGACTCCACGTCGACTGTGCCGAGATCATGAACGAGTAAACTGTGCACGGGCTGCCCAGTGCCGCATGCATCGTTGAGGACACAAGCGTTTTGCCACCCCACTCGCGACTCAGCCAGAGCACATGAACTTGCCAAACGCCCGCCGCGCTTCTTCGAACGACGTTGCCTGACGCCACACACAGCAAACCACTAACGCATTGTCAGACGGACGAACCGACAGCGTATACGAGCCAAGCGCGCCCTGGCGGGTAGGGCAACAGAGGCTTGCACCCTACTGCATTGAAGCGAGGTGCTTTGATCTACGGGGGTGCTCGAGCCTAAGTGGCCACGGACCTCGTCCTCCTCTTCTTCATCATCCAGGCCCTGAGTCTTGCGTAAGAAAACGGCCACCGCTGCGCTACGCGCATTGTCCTTGAACGGACGGCGACCTGGTCGTCATCAGGTGCCACGCTTCTGATGCTGGAGAGCTGAGCATCCAGGTTGGGTACAACGTGGTACGTAGCAAGTGAGAAGTGCTGCTCTCTCCTCCGACACACTCCTCGCCACCTGACCTGAATAATAATTTAATCCCTCGACGATCTGGCATCACTCTCAGGTTTGTACTTGCTGACATGCTCGCTGACACTGGCAGGTGGGGTGGAGTGGGTGGGGTGGGTGGTGGGTGCAATAGGGCACGAAGGTCCTCATCAAGATCGCCACGCGTTCATGTAAACTAATTGTCGCACCCGATGAAGTGTGCAAAGTCATGCCCCCACTGGATGCATGCATGAGTCACCTCCCGAACAATGGTGAACGAGACTACGAGGCACAAAGGCCTTGGCGTAGAAGAAACAGATCTTGCAGCAGTATCCACCGTACTCCTGCCGCCCACCCTTCGGCTATCCGCGCAAGCACGCCGCGCACCCCCCTTGTGGATCATCCAAGGTGCCCTTTCCCGCGGCCGCGATTCGTCGAATTGGTGGTGGACGGAATCCCAGCCGAGTTCGGTCCAACGCCGAAGGAAACGCCCCGCTTGTGAAACACGATCTATCATGATCACGTTTCAGGTGCCGCTGGATGTCCGGGACGGTCTTTCAAGGAGACGTCTTCACAAGGGCAAGTTTTCGACGTCCTCTAGCGGGCGAGGAGTGGTATAACAGAAACGCGTTCGCGATCGGGGGGACGCCTCTCCCAGGGCGGCTGGGCAACGGATGCCCCCCCCTGCCACTGCAGTGGCAGAAGCTTCCCAGCCGCCCTGGGGCAGGCGCCCCCGATGGCGAACAAGCATATGCAATACTTACCAGCCTCGAACGTATCCCTATCCCTAAGATTGGCACGCCAAAAGGCGATGACAATCTTAGGGATTCGCCCTCAAAATATGAGGGAATCCCTAAGATTGCCATCGTGATGAGGAGGTGCCCAGCATAGGGATAGGGATATGTTCCAGGCTGGTAACATACCGCTCTTCGCCCTGGGCCTCCGCGAACACATGGGCCGCCGAAGCAGAAGCCGAGAGCGCCCGAAAGGCCCGCGCTGCCTGAGCGACCTTCCATCCGAAGGCTTAGGTCGGGCATGTCCCCCTGCAGGGGGATTTTGGACGAATGATGAAAGATACCCAACGAATACCCAGCAAATATTCAAAAATGATCAAACATCGTCCCCGAACTATTTTT